CACCTAGTGTGCGCTGGGTGGCCTATTGGGGAAGAATTGGGTTTTGTTGAGCCTCAAGGAGATTGAGAACAGCAGGGCCCAGCCTTGAAGAGCTCCTTGCTCTCGAACACGGAACATGCATACAAGCCGGGCTTGCCGGTCTTTGAAGCAACCGTGAAAGACTTTGAGAAGCAATGGAAAAAATCTATTTCGGGGTGCTGGTCAATTATGCTCGACGCTCCACGATCAGAGGAAGACAGCTGTATGTTGAGGCGCTGAAGTCGCGGTTGAGTGACATCGTCACTATTCTTTTAGCGATGGAGACATGTTACGGTGCCGAAGCTCCCTGTGGACCTCGGTGTCAACATTTTCTTCTTTGTAACGTGGAACGCTGCTTAGTCTTAGACCTGTATTCAATCTCATTCTTGGTATCGCATGGTTGGAACATCATGAGTCATGACTGATTGGAGGTCGAAGACCTTTGGGTGTTACGTGCACGTCTTCTGGTGGAGCTTTAAAAAGTCATGAACCCAACTCCGCTAGGAGGCAAAAATGCGGTCACTGGACCGAGACGGTCAGCGTGCTGGAGATCAAAGTATCCGAGTTGGTGACCAACGAAGGTGCATTGGACAAAAGCGCTCGCGGGCTGAACGTGGCGTGGCACGTAATCCAATGAGCACTGCTCATGTTTCGAAGCAGTCGCTGCATGCCACGAGTGGTATGGTTGGACGAGGTCCGAGGCATCTTATCAAAGGCCTTTCAGAAGCGAGTGGAGTGGCACGTTATTCATTGGACGAAGACAGCTGATGACTTGAAGCCAAAGAATGCAGAAGAAGTATGCAGACGGAAGAGGATGAGGAAATGTTAAAAACTTTGAGGTCGGAGACCTGGTTATATCGAGTGCTAAAACTCTTCCTACACATGCAATCTCTGCTGTCTTTAAGACGAACGGTTTATCGATCCTTTTAACGTTGTGGTCATGCAGGGTCTTGTGTATAAGCTTAACCTTGCAAAATGGATGCGCACCCACCCGGTACTTATGTGGGCTTACTCTAGTCGTACCAATATCCTCGGTTAAGGTATTTAGTTCTCTTGGGGGCAGCGGATTGCGATCCGCTGCACTCGTACTGGTTCTTGGAAAGAGCGTAAGGTAGGTGACCTTGGCTTAGCTTTTTCCAAGCAAAGAGCTACGGCCACTTGGTAACACTCGTAGTCAATCTACGCCTGAGTCGTTACGACTGATCTTCTCTGACAATGGTAGAATACCCCTATATGCCCCAGGGTATGCAGGACGAGCTTTATAGGCTGATGTCCCAGCTGGACCCTGAGGGCGTGGAGAACCTAGTTGCGAAAGGACCCAAAGCCATAAGCGCGCGCCTAGAGGCGCTCTCAGGTTTTAATAGTGCTCTGTTCTGGCGCTTACAGTAGAAACTGTCAGCGTCGACTGCGTCTATGACGTCACCGTCCACGACGGATGTTTCCTTCCGACCCAGGCCACTCATGATGAACGTTAAGACCTTCGAAGGTAAGAATGGAGAGAATCTCCTGCTTTGGGTGATAGAATCCGAGATGGCTATGACATCCGCCATGCTCAAAAACGAGCAACAGCGCGAGGCACTAACTATCTTCAAGCTCGGGGGGCCGAGCACGATAATGGGCACTAACGTGCGGTGCTTCGGTTGAAGCTGAAATCCCCTCCAGGAAAGAGCTGAAGCGTCACTTTTGCGAGTGTTTTCGCTGCCTAATCAAGCATAACGCGTGCGATCGCGTTTCCTTGCTGCCTGCAAGGCAACGCAAGAAGGAGTTGGTGCACTTTGTTCAAGAGCTGCGGACTCTCATTGCCGGGATAGCAGCCGATCCTCTCCCCGAGGCGGCCACAGTGACCGTCTTTATGAATGATCTTCGCGCTGGCATGGCCATAATGGAATTATTCCGTGTGCAATCATCTTCTATTAAAGGAACGGTGAATGTGGCATTAAAATTTTGAGTTCAACTTTGAGTTGGTTGGAATGCACACCTCAGATATCGTCGAGGGGGCCTGAGCCAATGGATCTCAGCTATGCTGAGAAAGAGGAGGGGGAGCTCCGAGCTGCCAGGCAGTGTGTATACACCCGACGGTGTTTTGTTTGTGGAGACACCCGCCACCTTCGGACTGTTTGTTCTCTGCGCAAGGCGCGTAAAAGTTCGTCATACCGACGTCTCGCTTCTAACCAGTCTTGTGTGACGCTGGAAAACCCAGTAAGCGCGGGGCGCTCAACTTCGGAAAAACTAAATTTCGTCGTATTCATTTCTGCTAGGATGCGGAAGCGCTATTGGTGCGGGCACTGGACCGGCACGGTCAATGTGCTGGATATCCGAATATTCGAGTTGTCAAACACCAAAGGTGTTTTGGATAGGTATCCCGAGCGTAGCTCGCGGGCTGAATGTGGAGTAGCACGGAACCTACTGAGCGCTGCTCAAGTATTGGAGCTGTCGCTGCATACGAAGAGTGGCATGATCGGCCAAGGGCCGAGTGTCAAGGATGAGGCCCGTGCGATGCACGTATAGTGGCACGTAATCCTCTGAGCACAACTCACATTATGAAGCAGTCGCTGCATGCCACGAATGGCATGGTTCAAAGAGGTCCGAGGCATCAAGAGCGAGACCCTTGTGATGCGCGTGCAGTGGCAAGTTATCCACTGGCCGAAGACTGCGGAAATGGCAGCTCTATGTCGGATGCTGTTAATAACATCAAGGCTCCGATGGAGCAGGGAGTTTGGACACTGGACGACGCGGAGTGCGTGTTCCCGCTGGTCTCGTTGAGACGTACAGCCTCTAAAGAGAAGAGACTGCGAAGCCGTATGATATCTGCAAGACGCACGGCGTCGATCCTGCCCCAGGGCGTGTCTACCGTAGCCGGTAGCACATAGCTATATACTCTTATCAACGGTTTGACGGGAGAGGAAGACGGCGACGTCACCCTCGAAACTATGTCCGCGGTGAATGTTCTTCTTGGGCTGAAAGATATGTTTTTTGAAGAGTTTAATTGTGCCTTGAAGACAGGCAGTTTTACCAAGGTGGTAATTATGAGAGGAGATTAACTCGTCGTCGCTTCTGGATGAAGCTGTCCTGGAGGACACCAAGAGGGTGCTGATCGCACAAAGTGGACCGTCGATCCTGAAGGATCCCTCGGATTCGTACTATGCTTTGGTGAAGGACTTTTAAGACGTCGTCTGTAGAGACCCGCAGTCGGTCCTGAACCCCGGACCGGGGTGTAAGTCATGTTCTCAAACTAGTTTCAGGATCCAAATACTGCGTAATACGCCAATGGCCCATGCCCAAGGAGCAGTGACGCCTTTTTTCGTGCAAAGCACGACGCAGGAATGGTGCGTGGAGCAAGTTTTCCTATTCAACACCCACGTTTTGTGCCCGGAAGCTGGACGGTAAGTTGCGTATCGTTCAAGCTAACAATAAGCTCAACGCTACCACCATTCCGGAATAGAAGCCGATTACTAGAAAGGATGCACTCCAGAACAATATGGTTGGCTGTACAACGTACAGCGCACTCGACTTGGTCGATGGTTATTACCAAGTGCTCTTGAGAGCGGTTGATACTTCGCTGGCAGCGGTAAGTATTTCGAGCGGATGCTCTGGATGTGGCTGGTGATGCATTATGGGCGGTCAAACGCACCGGCAACATTTAATCGTATTGTGAAGCGGTTGTTCAGGTCCCATCGGGCGTATGCATAAACATACTTTGACGACATCCTCGGCCATAGTCGGGCGGTGTTCGCAAGAACAGATGTGGATGCGGAAGGAAATATCTTTCAAGAGCGCTTCATTGGGAAGCGTGGCCTTAGAGCGGATCCCGCTAAGGTTAAGGCCATTGTGGACTGGCCGGTTTTAAAGAACCAAAAGGACTCGCGCAAGTGGCTTGACCCTGCCAACTAATTGCGCAAGTAAAGCGCAATTTATACAGAAATGGCACGGCCATCGTCTAATCTCCTCAAAAAAGACAAGGAATGGTGTTGGGACACCGAGCATTGGGAGGCTTTTTACAGGGTTAAAGACAGCCCCTTCATGCACCAATACTGGCGTTGCCGGACCCCGATCGTCCTTTTGGTGTCGTCTGTGACGCTTCGGACTTTGCCATCTGCATACGCGGGTAACATTTTGTGTGTAGCGCTGCTACATGCTCTCGGGAGCAAGGGGTTTGCAAACTCGGACAAGCCGTTGTCGGCGTGTTTGCGCGCACGGTTACACCGATATTTGTGAATAACGGGTTGCTCTATTGTAGCACCGATTCAACGGATACGCCATGAATTGTGGCCCTGCCGATGAGGATTTGATAAAATTTCGCAAGATTAAGGCTGACTCAACTCGTTTCAGGACGACACTACAAGAAGATACTTGAATTGTTAGCTCAATCTGGCGCAAGCCCAGAGCAACTTTTCGTTATCCTAGGCATCCAAATCAATCCTGGCGGATTGTTCAATTTCAACATCATCTTCGATCGTTGGTTTGAGTTCATTATTTTGTACAGAAGAATCAAAGACAAAAGAGCCTCATATGATAATGAACAACTGTTTGATTTTCTGGTGCAAGAAGTTGAAAAGGTGAAAGATACGCAAGTGCCTTCATCCAGTTCTTCTACATATAAATCAATGCGAATCGTGGTAAATTTGTTCAGAGATATAAATCGCAAAAATCACCTGAAGGACATCACTGAAGACATGATTGCGTACTTGACCGAAAATCCTTCCACCAAGGCGTTCTTTATGAATTCTCAGACGTAGCACCGTTTTACTTTTTTCGCATCCTGGATCTTGAGAACGAGCCTTGTCAGCCTCGACCCAACACTTTACTCTTTCTCGCTTGGCCTGATTTCGTCAAGGTGTTCTGCTCCAGAGTGAAAGAGCAGGAACAGGACATTCGCATTCCTGACAGCTTCATCGTGTATTCTAAAGTGCTCATTTCAATGACATCATATGCAGCTGTGAACGAGCTACTTTTGTCGGAAAAGTTTGTCATGATGCTGGATGATGCGAAATTGCTACGGTATCGAAGAGGACACACAAGAACTGCTGGAGATTTTCAAGGTACCATACATCGTGAAGCAATGGCTACTTTATTCCGAAAACCCTGCTGACCTGATCAAATGTTTAAAGCATCCGACTAAATTTGGCGACACATTGCCAATGAGAGTGGAGCCAAGTAGTGCAATTATCCCGCAAGTGACTAATGTGAGAGCTGCGAAAATTCCGGACAAAATTGTGTCAAGGACTACCTCTTCTCCGCCGATAGCCATTCACGAAGTCGAGAGGACCGACATAAATCAGACAGATGACGTCAATTTCTTGGTATGGCTCTTGGCCACCTCTTCGTCTCTAGAGAAACATCCAGAATTTTCGGACATACAGCTGATCGATTCGTTAGGACTCGAAAAATCTCGACATTCACATCTCTTGCGGATCTTCTACTGAAGCAAATGTTTACCGACCCTAGACCTAGCGAAATAGCTTTGGTGGCGGCCAAATTCAATCCTAAGCTGTATTGGGACTTTCTTTTTCTGGAAAACCAAGGCGACTGAAACGGACGAATATGTCTTTCTGCAATGGTACAAATACGCAACGGCACACAAAAACGATAAATCGACGATGATGCTAAACCATGTCGACCCCGAGACCTTGCAAAAATGGATTCAGAACGCTGTGAATTCAATGCTTTGAACACTCTGGTGGAGTATGTTAGTAATTTGCGGAAGCTCTGGTGAAGTATGGTGGTAATTCGCGGAAAGCTGGAAGGACTTGAACATGAGCTAACATGAACATTCACTATTCTTTGGGCAAGTTTCATTCGTCTTAATCGCTGTTGTTCGCTTTAAGATCGCCTGTCTACATGTAAAACAACTTGTTCGGCACGAAACCTCTTCGGTGCATACCATTCATTTCTTTGAGTGATATATACAAACCTGAGGTGCATTCACGCTGTCTTGTTTGTTGGCGTCTCAGTGATCGTTTCATTTGTTGAATTTGTAGCCATGACACTATGATAGCGTCGCTAGTTCTATCTATCTACTCACCTTAAGTAAAAACACTGAGATGTCAAAGAGCTTGAAGAAATATCAATTGTGTTGAATCATGGAGATGAAGATATGCGCGTCGAACCAATTGTGTTGAATCATGGTGAAATTAATAACAGTAAGTTCAATTTGCCTCAGCAATTGGCCCGAAATCAATCGTGGTGGCTGTCCAACCACTTGGTGATTTGATTGATGCAAGTTCATTGGCAAAAGTTTGTCCGGCCTTGTCACGGATGCGTGTCATGTTCGTACAGGTAGCAAGCAGCTTGCTGTGCCGAAGACAAACATATTCGACTTGAACATTTATTTGGAAACCATTTCAACGTGCGTTGGCAAATTCTTTGTTCGACCTTGTCACGGATGCGTATCATGTTCGTACAAGTAGCAAATGCAGGAAGTCAATACCTCCGATTTGAGTAGCTTGGTGTACTTAAACATTTTTATGGACACCAATTTTAACTTACATTTGTTGCTTTTGTGTCGTTTCGATTAATTTTCTTTTAAAATGCGCAGCAGATCTGCTACTTTAGAAGCTCGGGAGCGACATTGTCATCAGATTTGTATTGAATATCACTGATACGTTGCTTCAATCTGAAAGATGAACAGCTTTTCGGACTAAAATGTTACTTAAAATACAATATGAGCAAGACAAGAAAATATTGCGACGTTTGAGTAAGCAGACTGAAGCAAAAGTGCTATTCGAGCTACACGAGTTCCGATGATTATTTCTGTCTCCGTTTCGTGATTTCGTTTAAAATCACTCGAGAGATTGCATTGCTCAGCTGCCACCTTAAGACCGTCTCACGTTAAAATATGACGACAATTGTCAGCTACAATTTTACTCTGGGGCATTCAAAACTCGAATTTATCATTTTTATTATAAAAGTGTGTCATGTGTAGGGCAATCCTTTGGTCGGATACGACATACTTAATTGCTAGAAAATCGCAAAAATGTTTGCAAAAGTGCCGAGGATTGTTGTATATTTTTCTGTTTCTTGCTACGTCTTTCTTTTATTGTACGTAGCGACATAGCATTTGGAAGCTACATATGTTTCGTCGACTGGAGTGGCACACTGTGCATAAAGTTAATTTTCTAATCTCGCAACTTGAAAATCAGCTTTGAATCAGTAAATTCTGTTTTCTTTCTCAAAATCTATACCAAAAGACGTGCACTTTGGTACGAGAGCGATAATGATGACGAGGTTTTAAAGCACTTTCGCGTGAATCATGAAGCATTGACTCCACTTTAAGAGATAGTCCGTAACGATTCTATGTCTCAGACATTTGGTCCTTGTGAATTTTGTATGTGTAGTAAAACCTTTGTAATGAGAATTCCACTCCACAGCTTTCTCACAGTTTGCAAAGATTATATAAAACGCATTATGCAGCGAGCATGCCATGCATTTCTAAATACTCAAAACAATATTCTTACATAGACGATTAAGAAATGATTGTCACAAAGACCCAAGAGCATATTTTATTTGTCTTTCGCTTAAGTCACTATAATTGAAGAGGATCGCTCATAGCGCTCGTTATTTGTGATAATCTTGCTCATATCAATTCTCGCGCAAGATGCACCTTGCGACTGAACTCAAATGCCTCTGTTTGCGCTCGAACATGCAACGTCCGACTTGTCGCATTTATAGCCTCACGTGTAATTTTTGATGTTGCCACGATCTCCCGCACAAACTTTAACGACTGGAGTGGGTTGTTCCAGTTGCTTCATATGTAGTTCCGCAAAGCGAAATGAGCTGTCAATTCATCCACCATTTTTTTGAGCTCCTTCAAATTTATTGTTTCGGTCGAGCATTAGTTGTGCTTTAAATCTGGTCGGTCGTTGGGGATCATCTCACCTTGGCAGGTAAATCGCGCAATGATACAGGAAATGCACTGTTAAGAACACCACTGCCGAGTCTTAACAGAGTTGTTGACCCAGTCACATCGCTGGTTTCACCACCCCCATCTTTCGCGTCGTTACTATCGGTACATTGTGATATATACGCTTAAAACCTAGGAATACGTGGACGCTCATTATGTCGTACTAAGGACATTGAGTGAGATAGCATCACGCAGATTCTTCTTATTTTCGACTCCTTGCCTTGTTGCTCCTATCAATCAACCGTTGACATGTGTGACTCACCATTTTTTGCACATCCTTTGTTGATTAAGTTGACGTGAAAGCACAATATCTAATGCACTAAACAAGTAAATCTGCAATCGTAGTATGTCCCTGTCATTGTCGACTACATAGGCTACCGTGGTATATTGCATCGCATGAGCTTATGTAGAAGAAATTATCGGCGCATTCGTATACTCGACCTAGGCATCAAATATCTACAATAGAATCTATAACATCTGATCTTTCTGAAATTATACACAGAGAAATATTTGGCGCGACCGCCAGCCGCTAAGCTAAGCACGATGGGTATGTCGAAATAGACAGGAGCAAAATTAGGGTTACCGTTTTAGGTTTAAGCTCGCCAGTTCAGGATTTCACCACGTCACGATGGACTTGATCACAGCCGTCGCACCTTCCCCCGCGTGCTCCATCACAGATAGCTCAGCTGGCTGTTACACGGCATCATGGTACCTTATTTGGGACCAAATTCAATACTGGTTGATCATACAAGTGCCTATTATCGTACTTTCTATCATATATGAGTATATTGAGCTGCCCTCGCTCAAATACGTCGAACGACTCCGTCAAATCTGCGACTCGCCGCTCATCAATGTCGTGGTTAGAAATCCTTACAGTACGTCTACTAGATTGTTATTATCTAAATTAAAGTTGTGTTGCAAAATGTTAGAACTATCTTATCCAGATTGTCACTAGCTTATATGTCTGCATAAACTGGAGTACGTACCGCCTCTTCTACACTATCCCACTGAGATTTACATTATTGTTATTGTAGTTGTACGAGGGGGATCACTAAGTGTTATATTCTCGTCATGGTCCATTGAATCACTCTTTCTTATTGCTACAGCCGTCGGGTATGCTCTTCGATGGCTGGCGGCAAAAAACAAGTACGTCGAAGCGAACTTTTTTACAAGATTGTGCTTTTTGAGATATTTCTATGCGTTGGCTTGCGTAGAGTAACATTTGTGCTCCAGCTCCATCATTTGTTCGATTTGCTTTCTGTCGTAGCACACTTTGCTATGTCGTCTCAGACGATAATTATAGGAACGAAGCGACTCCGATCGTGGCTAGATTTTGGCTTTGTTCGATCTTATGTGGGCTATGTAGTCGTGGATCACCTTTTTACACGGTACCAGAACAAGACATTTTTCACGCAAGTGCTGCTTGTGGTGTTTAAGGCACTATGCCTTGTCTTTTTCTTTGCTTCAGTTCTCTTTTCTCTAGAGCGACTTGGAGAGTTGCCGCATACCAACAGTTTCCTACTTCATGTGTACGAATGCAGTAATGAAAATGGCACGGAGACAGTTCTGAAAGCGACAAATGAAGGAACGACAGAGCATCCAAACTGTGATGAAACGTGGAGTTTTTTTTCGTCGATATACTTCATGTTTGTGACGGTCTCAACGGTAGGCTATGGAGACTTTTCGCCACGTACAGTGCTGGGTCAGCTCACTGTTTGTGTCATTATCGTTTTTGGTATCTATACATTCGCAAACGAGTCTGCTGCCCTTATGACAATATACGGAGATCAACGTGGCGCGCAACTTAAGTACGATGGCTCGAGAAATACTGCACATGTGATCGTGACTGGCAATCCGTCGGTTGCTCAGATCAAGGACTTTATCCGCGAGTTCTTTCACCCGGACCATAGGGAGGCGTTTCAAAGCCATGATAGCGATTACGAAGTCAGCGAGGATGAGGAACTTCAGATGATGTCGAGCCAAAAAGCTTCGAGATCCTTGTTATCAAGCAAGCGTTTTTCAAACATTCGAATTCGCAATGGAAGCAATCATGAAGTTTACACCGCGATGGAAGAGGGACAGAGAAGTGGCGAAAAGAAAAAAAGACTTAACATCAAATCACTACTGTCGAAATGGGCGAACCGTCGAGAAAATTTTATTCGTGAGACTCACATTGTCATACTCATGCAGTTTGATAATACTGGGGAAAATGCGTCGTATCAGCGACAGGTGATGGAATTCGTAGCTCAAAATCCTCGATACGTCAAGCGTGTTTTTCTTGTATACGGCTCACCACTCCGAGACGCTGATTTAAGGAATGCACAGCTGGATCGAGCAATGGCGGTGTTTTTCTTACCAAACAAGTATTCAGATGATAGCAATAGAGAAGACGCAGCTACAGTACTACGTGTTCTCTCTGTCTCTCAGCGCAAATCTGACCGCGCTCAATTATTTGCCATGCTGGCGAATTCGGACAATCGCATCCTCTTGGAAGCCACTGGAATAGGCAAAAATAATTTGGTTTGTGCCGACGAAATTCGATTGGGTTTGATGGGTCTAAGTTGCCGGTGCCCTGGACTTTCGACGGTGGTTTCTAATCTGATTACAAGTCGCAGCGGAGTGATACCAGAGATTGGATCGCAGCAGGCTAAATTTTTTGAACCATGGATTTCTGAATACATTTCCGGTGCTGCAAACGAAATTTATTCATGTTGCTTAGCTCCGCATTTCTATGGTATGAATTTTATCCAAGCGGTGATGCACATCCATCGTCAGTCCAACGGTCTGGTGCTGTTCATAGCTGTCGAATCGGATGGCGAGATTGCTTTTAATCCCGGCCGTTGGTATTGCATTACTTCAAGCACGAGGGCTTACATGATCGCGGAGTCGGTCAGCTCTCTCAAGCCATTTGCAGGCCAACTAACAATGAGCGCTATCGCTACTTTGTGCACTGATAAGTCACTGCTACACAATCGTGAAAATCTGCTGAGCCGAGCTCGTCAAGCGCAACACAACGTTGAAAGGCGAATACCGACAGGTGTTCGAGACCATATCATGCAATGTGCTACTAACAATGAACCACCAACGTCGCCTTCACCGGAATTGCTCTCAGCTGGTAAACATATTGTCGTGTGCAGTAACATTGGTAATGAAAGTGGCGGTCAGCGATCTATCTCTCGTTTGGTTAATTTCTTGCGCCCGTTACGAGCTCCTCACATTGAAAGAATGGTTCCTGTTGTCATTGTTGATGCAGGCACTTTTGACAGCGTCTCGTGGCTTCAAGTACGCGATTTTGGCGAAGTGTACCATGTCCACGGCTCCCCACAATCCCATCAGGCTCTCGTCCGTGCTGGCATTTACACAGCATCTTCAATCGTTGTACTTGCTCAAGGAAATGAGGCCGGGTACGACGACTCTAAAGCAATCTTTAACGCGATTCTCGTCAACTCTGCATTGCAACGTAGCAAAATTTTTACAATTATTGAACTTAGAGATGTTAACAACAACCGATTTTTGGACTCCGTGTCAAGTTTTCGCTCATTGCACAATTTTGACGGACAAGACTTTAAAAATTGGATGGATAGCGAGTACGATGTCAAGTCCTACGCGTCGAATTATCGTGAAGCGCTTTCTTCTGGCGTCCGAGAAAGTGCTCAATTTGGTCGGGCTTCAAGTATCGCGAAAAAACGTAGCTGGTGGCAACGTCAGACTCGAGTTATTAAGCGTGCAAGCTCCGCAGTCAGCATGTTTTTTCTGGGAAGTTTGAAAAATGCCGCTCAACATTTGGGCTCGTATAGAGACGACACGGATTCTGGAGAGGCAATGATTATCGAAAGTCTTTATCAGGGCAACGACAGCAGTACATTTTTCCAGGAACGCTTTATGAACGGCTCACTGTTCCCCTCATCTGTGGCTGATGACTTGTTGATTCAAAGTTTTTTCAACCCGTCTTTGAATTCGTTCATTTGTAAAATTCTTGATGGCAAAAGCTGCTTTGTTTTATACGATATTCCGAAAAAGTTGCGAGGACGAGAATTATTATATAGAGAACTCTTTGAGTACATGACGTCGAGTATAGCGCATACACTACCAATTGGTTTGCTTCGCGCTCAGGAAAGTCCAGGAGGTGCACCGTACCCTTACGTATACACTTGCCCATCCTCCGACACGATCGTTTACCCCCGCGACAAGATTTTTGTTCTGGTCAATATAGTGGCTCTTAATCATGTAGCGAATAAGCTGCAACAAAATTTTCGAAATCGCTTGAAGCCATCGACGGCTGTAGCAGATCTTGTGGGAACGCACTAAACGGTCGTGAAAAGTGTGACAAGTGGACCGACCAAAGTCACAATAAACTTGGTGTAACTGTGTATGATCCTGAGCACTGGAAAATTGGTTTCGATTTTGACTTTGGAAATCTGAAAGAAGGAAGAATGCGCGAGTGGTCCGATATGATGCACATTTATTGTGTAGTTTGTCGAGGTTTTATAGAGTTTGCATAGTTGTGTGACACCAATTTAACTAACAATACATTTATTAGCCAGGGTGCTTATGAATACGCCTTCAAAGAAAGCCTGATGTTTACGACAGTTGCGTACCCCGTTACACCTGATAAAATGATTTCACCCAGTCATTGAATGCCTAGTTGTTTGCGTGTAAGTTTGCGGAAAGATAGTCTTTAGTGAAAAGGGACTAAGCTTCCATTTTTATTGCTCACATGCTCTACCCAAGCCATTCTCAAAAAGTCTACACTAACAACGCACAGAGATTGGGTTCGTATGCTTCACCCAGGAGCAAAAAACGCGAGCCTTTAAACCTATTCGAAAGTAACAAACAGGAATAGTTTGTTCGACACACGGTCTACTTTATTCAATAAAAACATTTTTATTGTTGCCTTTTTTCGGATCCCATCAGAAAAGTTTAAATTACAAAAAGGTGCAAATTAAACAGTAATTTCACGAAACTGTTGTTTAAAGTCGTATAAACACATAGCGTTCCCGTCACAAATTATGCATCAAGATATGAAGCACTCTAGGGCTTATTTTTCGTTAGTCTTTTCGAGACATCGCACAAAAAAGACATTTAAACGAACTCTAACTGCGCTAGGAGTTCACTCCACATTTAGCCCTCTGCACTATTTGCATCCGGGAGTATGTTCGCATCGAGAGCCCTCTCCTTCGAATTTTATCACATTGCTCGGCGATCCTCTAAATATGGAGCGCTTTTTGCAACCGAAGCCCGTAAAGCTACACTCGACAAGAAAACCAAGGTGTTTTTGAATGTGTGCGGTTACAGCGAGTCTCTGAGTCCTGGATAACAATACCCCGCTTTCCATTGGTTGTTGCAAACTTCCCGTTCGTCTCCATGCGACAGCTGCTTCAGCTAATAACCGAACTTCGAAACTGGAACAATGCAAGATCCTACTCGTCAGTGAAAGGAGTGCTGCGCTGGGTAGGAGAACAATATACACTACAGACCCTCAAACACAACACACACGCTTGTGCGAAGAAGAAGCGATTCTTGGCAGTCCGACATAAAGGGGAACAGAGAATATGGGGGCTTGTAGGCAAATTTGCAATTGAATTGACACGAGCGAAAGGTTCTTAGAGCTACAAGCAAAATATCTAAAGATAGTTTAGAGGCTGCAATAATGAACTCTCGCTTTCCTATAAGTTAAATTTATACAATCAGAAATTTACTTAGGGTAAATATCAGCTTGAGCTTTTTCAGATGTTGAGTGTACGGAGCTTGAAGTTCAAAAAAACAAAGCTTGAGCTTCCGTGAGATTCCCGATTTAAGTGACTGGAACTACAAGAGACAAAGATTTGTCGATCTCACTACCAGTCCCCGATCCTCCCGCTAATAATCTGCATTCTGAATCGTATTTAATCTTTGTGACCTCATAGAAGATGTCAAATTCACATATGGGACACCATACCATAATCTCTTCGTTATAATTTTCTACAATGCACGCAAAAGGTACAGCGATGTACCTTAATGTAATAGATCAGAGTAGCTGATGACAGCATCTTCTGCTTAAATCAGAAGTACTCTAACACTTGTGCAGACCTTTTGGAATAGCTCACATCGATAAGTAATGAAGTGATTAAGTGAGCAGGCCAAGTTTGACGAGCGACCTTCCAAATGGCAAGAAAAATGGCTCAGAACTCTTTTTCGTCACTTGATTTCGAAACCGAGTTGGAGACATGAAGTTCTACATGGAACATGCCTTCGTTGGCGTCGAATCAACAATTGTTATGATCCGCACAGCGCATCGCAACTCTGCTGATCTCTTGGTGGACGTTTGTTTGCATTGATGGCACAAACAAGATTGGCGTGGCCTCAAGCAACACAACTCACAATACTGGCAGCTGCAAACCACGTCGGGGACAGCAAACGCTAGAACTAAAAAAGTTCCCACGTGCCTGATACTGATGAATTGCCGCGCCACCGAACTCTGTGGAAGCGATGATAGTTCAACTACTTCTCTCCAAGATGACGTTTAATCGGTCGATGTGTTTGATTCGTCATCTAATACATGAGGTGGGGTTGAAGATGAAAACTATTGAGCGACTCTGAGAGTGGAAGAGCGCTCAGTAAGGGCAGATTTAGTCATTGCAGTAGCGTTGTTTGACACTTGAAGATTGCTGTGGAAGTATTTTTACCCTTGTTACAGTGCAGAATTCGAGAACGGACGGTGACAGATGATTCCGCCTTCGGAGCTTCGCTTTAAATCACGTTTCAACAACTTAGTTTTATTTTTTTCGACTTTTGAACGGTGGAAAGTCTCGTGAGATGGCTCACGAATTCTGTTGCGGACTACAAAAAGGCAGGCTATGTTTTTGAGATGCTCTAGGGCTTGTACCGTTCGTGCTTCATACGCTAGAATCAGTAAAAGAGCATTTTTTCGGTCTCATACACAACGCTTGCACGTCGAGAAGAAATTCTAGGGTGAAGAGTCTGCGATTTGCGGTCAATCGAAGAATACTTCATAATTAGCTTGATCATTAAAAAGGTTGAGAAAAATCGGCAGATTCACTCCACAGATACGATTTTATCCAACCCTTATCCGCGTTAGGACGTTAGCGCATATGTTCAGGGATTACTACTTGGTAAGCACACCAACGTTGCGCGTTATCATCTTGAGCGATTCAATGAATCTTTGTAAAAGCATTCCGATGTTTAATCTGGACATTGCTTCTAGAGATCTCATTGAGTCAAAAGTTGCTTTCAATTTTGTGGCCGCATCAGGTCTGAATGTGACTACGTAGCCAAAGACTCTCCCCAACTTAAGGTTAAGTAAACTTGCTCATTATAAAAGCAGGCACACTAGAATAAATACCATTGTTTACGAAAATGGCGAAATACCTGTCGAAACCTGAGTGGTTTTGTTCAAGTAAACTCTGGAAGTGGGAGAGACTCACTTCTTTCACTGATCGACTTAGCGTAACTTCACAGTACGTCCTTTACGACTCGATTTACATACGCTGTTGACTGTCTTCTTATGATATACCGCTGTTGACATTAAAGCTTGGTGCCCAATAGTCCGAACAGGGAATGCCAAAATTCCGGCGTGAAACTATTTTCATGCTCAGACACGATTTCAGCAGGAAGGTCATGCAGACGAAAAAGCAAGGTCCATAAAGACCTTAGCTATTTTCTCGGCGGAGATCGTAGCATGCGCGACTGGGATATTTTGCTGAATCGGTCCACTAACCATTACGACCATGTGTGCCAGGCGGAGGTCTGAATGAGAATTCCATACTTTAGACCACAGCTACCAGCTGGTACTGCCAACGACCTAAGTGGGGCCTGAGCGGAACCCGATCGTCTCACTCCCTGACAAATTTCGTGAGTTCTCTCATACTTGCGCACCGATAGTATTTCCGGGTAGACCGAGAAACGTTTTCTCACGTTCGAGATGGTACCCGAAGGGCTGTTATGGTACATATAAAACAGATGATGACGCAAACCTTCACAACTAGGAAGAACAAATCTTGCTGTATCTCCGTGTTTAACCAAATTGCACAACAATTCATGGTGTAATCCAAAGCGATAAGCACACAATCAGGTGCTAGACGGGAGACCTTGCAGCACTTTGTCAGAATGATTATTGAAGCACCTCAACAAGTCCTGACGTATCCCATCAAACACTCACCCTTCGACAATTTCT